GAATGCAACACCATTCCTTTTCAATTTGTCATTCCCTGCATAGTAAACCATGTGGTTGTCAGATTCAAAATGGCCAATACCAGTCCATTTCAGCTCACTATTGTCTAAGATATCGATGTTTATGCATTCCATTTCATTTTCACAACTTCCAATTTTCCCAGATTCATACTTCATACATTCCATGTTCCGATTTTCAATGGATGTTTACAACGGTTTCTCTTCATTTTGAGTTGTGCCCCATCAGCAAATGAAGGTTCTGTAGTCTTTTCTCCCACGAGCTTCACTCCATTCACGTCATCACGGTCAACTCTGCTTTGAGGAGGCATCTCTTCCCCAATCGCATTTTGAGTGCCTTCCAACCTGAGGGGCTCATTTTCAGGCCCTGTATCTGACAGTGTTTCTCTGCTATTCATAAGGTTTTCAGTCACTAACGATTCGGAAGTAGTTCGTCACTCTTTCTTCCTAGTCTGTCTTTGTCTGGAAGCTCATCTGAAACTTGTCCACCATGGGTGATCCTGCTGGTTATTTAAAATACTGGTGGCATAGCCCTCAGAATCACAGCAACCACTCAGTAGGGAGTCTGAATCTAAACTCCCACACACTCTGAATCTAAACTCCCTCTTAAAAACTTGTAAGCCACCCACTTCGTGCCTTTACAGCCCCACCCACCCCTATTTTAGGTAGCTAATGTCTAAGTTGCCCATCCTATGAGCCTTGTGTACAGAGGGGATGGGAATGATCCTTGCTGTAAAGATTCCTTCCCTCTTGGTTGGTATTTTAAACTACTACATCCATAAATAGAGGTCAAGTTCGTCAGATTGTAGCAATTTACTTTTTTTCTTTCCTCTTTTCCTTCTTCTCGTTGGGTTCTGAACATCCAGCTTTTGAAACTAGGTCCAATGGGCACTATCTGCAAGTTTGGGCACCCTTCTTCATGTCCCCTCACTTCATATCAACTGGACACTTCACTGTCAGCTCTATGCCTCCGTGGTCATGTCATTGTCCATGGACTCAGGTGTCCCCAAGTCTCACCGTACTTCAGGCCAACCGGCTCTCATAATACTCCAGGTTGATGGGGGTCTATGTAACTTGGTCAGACTCAGCTCACCTCTTCATTGTTGCTTTTCCCCCACTTCCTCTCACCAATACACCAACATGGTCACCAGAAAGCTTGTGTATTCCCTTTGAGTTTCAGTCTTGGGAGGGGGTTGTCCTGAAGGGACTTATTGCTTGCCTTGATGGCTCACCAGTGAACAACTTGCTTGTTCTTGCAGTAGCCAATCAGACTACAATTTTTGTTTTTGTTTTTCTCTGTTTTCAAGTAATATCTCCTATTCCTTTAGCTGCTCCAGGCTGGTCTGCTTGTCTTTTCAAGTGGGAATTTCCCATCTCAGACGGTTCTGGATGGGGATCAGGATTCCACCTAAAGTCTTATACTCTACAAAGGCTCTGCAAGTAGCCTCTTTTACTGGGAAAGTTCTAACACCCCTTTTAGGTATTCCAATCATTTATAGGCTGAAGGCGGGCTTACAAGTTTTCTGTAATCATGTTTCCCAATATTCATTTCTATCCCACTCAAGTGTCTATTTTACAATAGTAGGCAAGGGAAACAAATAGTTATAAGATAGTTTATGACCTTTTTTATTTAACATTAGTATTAAATCTTACAACCTTTTCTTTTAGAAGATTCTCAGTATTTGATGCTATAAACTGTGTACCCATGGAGTTGATTTAAGAACATGTTGTTGTTGCTGTTATTGTTGTTGCTAAGTGCCATCAAATAATTTCTGACTCGTAATGACCCTGTATAGGGTTTCTTAGATTGTAAATCTTTATCAGAAAGCCTCATCTTTTTTCCATGGAGCAACATATCCCCTTGGGCTCGAATCACCAACTTTATGGTTGACAGTCCAGTGCTTATTCTCCTGTGCTCTTAAGAACATGTAGTTGTTGAGTACAGTCCAGTGCTTATCGTATGGAGCCACTGCACTCCTTAAGGACATAGTAGAATGTTAGAATGGGAGTCTTCCTGAGGTGCTAAGAAAACAATTATCCATTCTCAAATTGAGAGTGAGTTTCCCAATATGCATAATTTATGAAGGATATTTCAAAGAATTTGTCCCATGACTCTTATGTTACTTGATGAGATCCAAGATGTAAAAAATGTAGAGGAGAATGGGAAAGATTGGAGAAAAAATTTCCTTGAACCTGTCATCTTGTGAGCTTCCACAAATAATTTTACTTCTTTCATTAAAGCCTTGTGAGGGGAGGTCTTAGGGGATTACTTAAAGAGCTTTGAAATGTATCCCTTAAAAATTGGGAAAACAGGGAATTAGAGATTCATTCATGCCTGAAAAAGCTAAGGCAAGCTGTGGAAACTCAACAGAGGGGTAGTATTGGATTGGCCTATTCACACCAACACTGGCATGACAAAAACTATGCATGATAGTTTCTTAAAAACCATGCCGGTTAGAGGAGTTGTCTGGGATTTGGCCAAAGATGCTTGGAGGGAGGACTAAGAGATACAGAAATAGAAGATAGAGGAGAATGCTAGATATTTAAAGGCTAATACAGGAGTATCAAGTGACCACCCAGAAGCCAAATATATAGCTTAGTTCAGGGACCTGAAGGTGAGTGGTCCCTAGCAATGAGAAGCTCCAAACAGAAAGAATCAACTTTAGCCATTTGCCAAGCTCAGAGACTCTGAAGTCACCTAGCCAAGTAAAAACTGTCTATGGCCTTGCTTCTCCCCTTTCTCCTACCTATTGCTGTTGTTGTTGTTATGTGCCATGGAATCGGTTCCGACTCATAGCGACCCTGTACAGGGTTTCCGAGGCTGTAAATCTTAACAGGAGCGGAAAGCCTCATCTTTCTGCCGCAGAGCAGCTGGTAGTTTCGAACTGCTGACCTTGCGGTTCACAGCCCGATTCGTAACCACTACGCTACCAGAGCTCCTTGCCTATAGAGGAGGTTAAGAGTGAAAAGAGAGCAGAAGCGGACCTCTGAAAACAGGGAATATCCACCAACTCTGGACCTTTCCTGAGAGGAGCCAGAAATCTTACTTTTGAACAAAGATTAAAGGATCGATTAATAGTTAGAACTGGACCTTCTACTTACTGAATCGATACTGTGTTTACTCTTCACAGTGAGAACTGATTGTTACCTAACCAAAAAATCACTGGGCCTGCTGCATATTCATCCAATATTTAGGGCAAGTTTCCCTGAATGAAGAATACTTAAAGTAAAAGTGGTAGACAAGATTTAAATTTGCATTTTGTTTTTGTCCTGAGTTATATTTGTTCAACATGTTGTTGTTGTTAAGTGCCGTCGAGTCGGTTCCGACCCATAGCGACCCTGTACAGGGTTTCCGAGGGTGTAAATCTTTATGGGAGTAGAAAGCCTCATCTTTCTTCCACGGAGCAGCTGGTAGTTTCGAACCGCTGACCTTAAGGTTCGCAGCCCGATTCGTAACCACTACGCTACCAGAGCTCCTTATTTGTTCAACATAGCATTTATAAATACAGCTATGTTTGGAAAATCAAAACTCCTTAGCATCCAGTTTCTAGTTATGGTGATGGAAAACTTGGCAGTGGCTATTGCTGATGATTGCACAGCATGATTAATGTGATTGCTATCACTGATTTCTACCTGGGAAAATAGTAAAATGCCTGATACAGTGTTATCTATATAGTGTTGTTAGGTGCTATCGAGTCACTTCTGACTCATAAGAAAAATAACGCTATTATTAATGGATGAGGAACGTCTCAGCAGATTTATACTAGTGTTTACAATATGATAGGGTGATAATGATACCTGGCACTGCGTAGATATTCAGTAAATGGAATATGAATCTTTTCTTAGTTGCTCAGCACTATAGAAAATGTTTTGGAATTATTTTTAAATAAGAAATTTAGCATATACATTTACATGGTTTTTCACCAGTTCAAATAAGTGTTTAATGTATTTGGCCATTTTCACAAAATACCTGAGGTCCATTTGAGTAGATTTAGACTAGCCTTGAAGCAAGAAGAGTGTAGAAGGGTGGAGGCGAAGAGCTCTCAAGATCTTTCCAGAGAGACCTACGTCATCCTACAGCCTCCATCATTCTGTAATATCCCGTTTACCTAAGTAAATTCAGCAAATGAACAAACAAACACAACTTTTTCTGCATCATCTTAATATTATGGCAATTTGCCAATTGCCCTCAGTAGTGGATTAAATGGGAAGCAGGGATGTAAAGAGTCGGTACCAACTCGATGACACCTAACAACAACAACAACAAGGGATATAAACAATCACTCATCCGTTAATTTGTCAAACTGTGGTGGCTTGTGTGTTGCTCTGATGTTGAAAGTTGTGCCACCAGTATTTGTAATACTAGCAAGGTCATTCATGGTGGAAAAGAATATTGAAAGTAACATAGACTACCAGAAGAGCAAACAAATCTGTTTTGGAAGAAGTACAGCCAGAATGTTCCTTAGAAGCCAGGATAATTAGATCTAGCGTCTTCTACTTTAGACCTGCTATTAGAAGGGACTGATCCCTGGAGAAGGACATCCTGGTTGGAAAAGTGGAAGGTCAGCATAATGAGGAAGACCTCCAAGGAGATGAACTGACAAAGTGGCAGTAATATGGGCTGAAACAATAGTGGTGAGGCTGGTGCGGGACCAAGCATTCTGTTGTGTATCGCAGTGCTGTGAGTTGTGCTACTGTGCTATGAGTTGGAACTGACTCAAGCGCACCTAACAACAACAACGAGGGATATAAAATGAGCCTTGCAAAGTCTCACATGTCTTATTTTTGCCTCTTGCTCCTCATCACTTTCAAGAGAATTGGTTAGGCTTTCAAGTCATAAGCAGAATGATAGCTTAATTAAATTTATGAGAATTTAAAATCTTAATGAGACTATGGCTCAGTATTTTGATTTAATTGCAGTGAAAATAATCCATATGTTATACTCTGAGCTATATCTTAACCTTTTTGAGTCCCTTAGTTCTGTCCTGGAAGACTATGAAAGTGAAGGGGGATATGTTAAATAAGGACATACTCATTCACTATGGTCACTATTTTAGCCCTCCTTCAACCTCTGATTAATTTATTTGTTTCCATTTCTTGCAGACCAAGAAGATTAGAAAATCATCCAAAGTCTATGACCATGGTACATCATCTTGATGATCATTTTAAAGAATATTATATTTCCATGTAATTTGACAATAACACAAGATTAAATATGAGTTATTGTAGTTACATTTCAGTAATGTCCAGTTCATATGTCAATATGTTTCCTTTAGGATGAGGACCTCTTCTGCCTCCTACCGTAGTTTGTCCTATAATTGGAATCCATTCCTCTGAATTATCTCTTGTAGCATTCCCCTGAACTCCATTCTGCTGCTACTGCTTCATTTACACCCTCTTCACTTTTCAGCTGGAGTATTGCAATCATTTCCTGATTTCTGTCTCCAGTTTTGCTCCCCTTCATTCCATCTTCCACAAAGTAGGCAGAGTAATCTTTCAAAAGCAAAATATGATCGTGTCCCTTCCCTGTATAAACATTTTCAATTTCATACTGTTTACTATGCCAGGAATTACAAATTGAAGAGGAATAGAGTCACATTCATCATCAAAAAAAGATAGATCTTGAAATACTATGTTGTCTACAATTGGATAACATCCATATGCCTACAAGGAAGACCAGTTAATAACACTATTATTCAAATTTATGCACCATGCAGTAGAGTCAGTGATGAAATTGAAGATTTCTACCAACTTCTTCAGTGTAACCTTGATCAAACACGAAATCAAGATGTGTTGATAATTACTCATGATTAGAATGTGAAGATTGGAAACAAAGAGGAATGATCAGTAGTTGGAAAATATGGTCTTGGTGACAGAAATGATGTTGCAGATCTCATGACCCAATTTTGCAAGACCAATGACTTATTCATTACAAATGTCTTTTTTTTTTTTTTTTTTTTTTAAGTTTTCATTGTGAATTATGTGATAGAGTACATGGGAGAACATTAGCTTTACATTCATCCTATCTTCGTTTCATTGCAATAATTATAATTCCCTGCATGCATCATCAAACAGCCAAAGGGTACACCCCACAAGCCTGCCCCCTGGCCATCAACACACAGACTCTCTCCCTCCCAGAGTCCAGAATCCCCAGCCACTCCATCTCTCCACATCATCGTTTCTGCCTCCATCTCTGGCGTCGCTGTTTCTCTGGATAGGGTCCTGCACTCCGCTTTTCTCTCTTGATGGTCCCAGGGTCCTCTGCTCCTGGACTGCAAGATCACTCCCCTCCTTTTGTTACAAAATGTCTACCTTTGCATTTGCAACACTCACAATCAGTCCTGATAGCAATTATTCACTATAGAACCACAGGAGTCTTATCCCCATCTCATTTCACCAGCCCCATCCAGATAGGTTGGAAACCACTCAGTGGAGATTCTACCTTCCCCTGTACCCTCTGAAACTAGGCTTCCTCTTAAAAGCTTGTAAGCCAGTCACTTCATGCCTTTGTAGATCCCCCATCAGAGCCCATCCCTGTCAACCATGTGTACTGAGGAGGAGGGAATGATCCTCACTGTAAATATTCGTTCCCTCTTTTGAGCTGCTACATCCACAAACATAGGTCAAGTTCATCAAATTGTAGTGGATTACTCTTTTTTTTTCTCTTCTTTCTTCCTCTAGTTGAGTTCTGGCCATCCAGCCATTGAAGCCAGGTCAAATGGGTACTATCTGCAAGTATGGGTGTTCTTGTGCATCTTGCCTCACTTCATATTTACCGGATGCTTCACTCTCCACTCTAGTCCTCTGTGGCCATGTCCCTGTCCCTGGGCCCAGGAGACCCCCCAGGTCTCGCCATACTTTTGGCCAACCAGGTCTCAACCAGGCATCTATTGAATGTGGTTGGACTTAGCTCACAACTTCATTGCTGTTTTTCCCCAACTTCCCCTTATCGATGACCAACGTGGTCACCAGGAAGACCACATGCTTGCTCATGTATTCCCCTTGTGTCTTAGTGTTGGAAGGGAGTTTGCCCTGAGGGGACCTGACCACTTGCCTTGATGGCTCCCAGGTGAATGACTTGCTTATTCTTGTAGTAGTCAATCAGACTGCCATTATTGTTTTTGATTTTTCCTGCTGGTCTTTCTTTGAAGAAGTATCGTCTGTTCTACTAGCTGCTCCAGGCTGGTCTGCTTGTCTTTTCAGTGGAAATTTCCCACCTCAAAATGTTCTGGTGAGAATCAGGATTCCACCTATGGTCTTATGCAATGCAAAGGCTCTGCAGGAAGTCTCCTTTGCTGGGCAAGTTCTAGCCCCATTTTAGGTATTACAATCAGTTATAGGCTGAAGATGGATTTACAAGCTTTCTATGGTGGTGTTTCTGGGTATTCCTTTATCTTCCCCTAAAGTGTCTATTTTACAGTAGTAGGTAAGGGAAACCAAGATTCAAAAGACATCCAAGCATCTTAACATTATTTCCCTTCTTTTACCCATTCAAGCTATGCCTCAATCCCTGTATCCCAGAACCCTGTTGTTCCAAGGTTGTACATACATCATTATTTACCCGTCCCACTTAGCCCATGCAAACCTGCCTAACTGTTCTCCCATCTGCCTTGTTCTTCCATCCCCCTCCCCCCTCTTATATATTGTCCCTCCTTCCCAACACCCAAAACTATCCTGTGTCTATTCCCTACCCTGTGTTCCACCTTCCCTTCCCTCCCCTCAGCCCACCCCCTATGTCCCGGTAACCAGCAACTAATTTTTGTTTTCCCCTTTTAGTGTGGGTACTTTTTCTTAATCTTTTACAATAATGGCCCTATGCAGTATTTTTCCTTTTGTGACTAATTTCATTCAACATAATGTCCTCAAGGTTCATCCATATTATGCTAGGACTTGCAGCTTCCATGTTATTCTTCAAGGTAGCATAGTATTCCATTGTGTGTAGGTACCAAAGTTTGTTTATCCATTCTTCCACTGATGGGCACTTTGGCTGTCTCCATTTTTTGGCTATTGTCTATAGTGCTGCTGTGAACATAGGTGTGCATATATCTACTCATGTTATGGCTCATATTTCTTGTGGATAAATGCCAAGGAGAGGAATTGCTGGATCATAAGGTATCTCTATTTCCAACCTTCTGAGGAAGTGCCATATTGTTTTTCAGAGTACAAATGCCTTTATAAAACAACATAAAAAGTGAATAAACACATGGTCCTCATGAGATGGAATGCACAGGAATCAAATTGTCTACATCTGTGCAAAGAGGCAGTAGAAAAGCTCAGTATGAGCAGCCAGAACAAAACTGCGGCAGACTGTGGAACAGACCATCAATTGCTCATATGCATGTTTAGGCTAAAGCTGAAGAAAGTTAAAACAAGTCCACAAGAGCCAAAACACGGCATTGGATATATTGTGCCTGGATTTAGAGACCATCTCAAGAACAGATTTGATGCATTACACACTAATGACCAACAACCAGAAGAATGGTGATAGGCCATCAAGAACATCATGCAGGAAGACAGCAAAAGGTAATTAAAAAGATAAAAAAGAAGGAGAAGACCAAAATGTATGTCATAAAAAACTCTGCACTCGCTTGTGAACTTAGTGAAGCTAACACAATGGAAAAAATTATGAAATTAAAGAGCTGAATGCAAAATTTCAGAGGGCAGCTTGAGAAGACAAAGCAAAATATCACAATGAAATGTGCATATACCTGGAATTAGAAAACCAAGAGAGAAGGACACACTCAACATTTCTTAAGTGCAAAGACCTGAAGAAAAAAATAAAGCCTCGGGTTGCAGTATTGAAGAATTCTTTGGCACAACATTGAATGATGCAGAAAGCATCAAAAGAAGATGAAAGGGAAGAACAAACATGATGGCGGATGGGGTGGAAGTGCTGTAAGGAGCTCCATGGGCAACGACACAGAATACAGGACCAAGCAGGCTCGGGATGGTCCCAGAACTCTGAACCACATATAAAGCAATATTTATAAGGTTGGAAGACTTACAGCTGGGGGAGTTTGTGGCAGAAGCAACAAATCCATTGCTTTCTGGTTTGGGATGCTCAGGTGCTCCGGGAGCCGTCCTCTTGTGTGAGGCCAAGCGAGGGAAGGAATGGAGCAGCCACGGGTGCCTGACAGCCGCAGAGACAGAGGTGTGGACATTCTTTTATCAGTTCATTGGTCTCTTGCTGTCTGCGTACCTCCATTCTGATGACTACAGGGGTGCCTGAGCTAGTGGACACCCCAGCCCCACTCTCAGAGGGTTCTACTACGCATGCACACAGAACTCCTCGAAATTTAAAGAGACAGTTTCCACTTAAAGCCAAACGGCCACAGATGGTCCTGAACTGTTTATAACTAGAAAAAAGGCCTGAACGGGGATTGTAGAGCGGGACAAGCAGACAAAAAAGGAAATAGGCTCAAAATTAAATCCTAAGTTACATCACAACGACCAACAGTGGCATCTTGAAATTTCTCAAGAAGAAGAGTGAAAAGGGAAGCCCATTTTCTGATCACATCTACCTGGAGGCAATCATAAAGCATAAAACATATCAAAATACATACCCATCTAAGTATTAAGGCCACAGATAACCCCTGAATATACTCCAAAAACAGAAGCAGATGAC